CATGTGAGCTTTTGCCATCACTTGGCGTCCGTCGTCTGTCGTCGTAAACTATTTCAAAAATCTTCTCCTCTGAAACTACTGGGCCAAATACCTTCAAACTTTAATTAAATGATCCTTAGGGTATCTAGTTTATAAATTGTATCCGAAGTTTTGATCCATCGACAAACATGGCCGCCATGGCTAAAAATAGAACATAAGGGTCAAATGCAGTTTTTGGCTTATATCTCAAAAACTAAATCTTTTAGAGCAAATTTGACATGGGGTAAAATTGTTTAATTGGTCAAGATCTATCGGCCCTGAAATTTTCAGACGAATCGAACAACCCATTGTTGGGTTGCTGCCACCAAATTGGTAATTTTAGCAAAATTTTGCAGTTTTTAGTTATTATTTTGAATATTATCATAGATATATATATAAACTGTAAGCAGCAATAATGTTCAGCAAAGTAAGATCTACAAAAAAGTTAATATGACCATAATTGTCAATTGACCCCTTAAGGAGTTATTTCCCTTTAAAGACAATTTTACACAATTTGTTCATCAAGTTTGCTAACATTTAAAAATCTTCTCCTCTGAAACTACTGGGCCAATTACCTTCAAACTTTAACTAAATGTTCCTTAGGGTATCTTGTTTATAAATTGTATCCGAAGTTTGTATCCATCGACAAACATGGCCGCCATGGCTAAAAATAGAACATAAGGGTCAAATGCAGTTTTTATACGCCCGTTTACGGGACGTATTATGGTATACTGTTGACCGTCCGTCTGTCCGTCAGTCTGTCCATCCGTCCGTCGTCAACATGTCGGACATTAACTCAAAAACGCTTTTACCAATATGCATGAAACTTTGGTGAATTGTTTATATCTATTGACGTGAGTTCCCTTTTCGTTTTTTATAAATTTTGGATTTACCGTTTCCGAATTTTGGAGTTTTATTCATTAAAAAAGGGGGGATTTTCCAGTTTTCGGACAATAACTCAAAAACAATTTCACCAATTTGCAAGAAACTTTGGTGAATTGTTTAATGCTTTCAACATGAGCTCCCTTTTGATTTTTATAAATTTTATACTATACGTTTCTGATTTTGGGGGGTTTTATTCGTTACAAAAAGGGGGATTTTCCAGTTTTCGAACAATGACTCAAAAATGCTTTCAGCATTTTTTATGAAACTTTGGTAAATTGTTTATATCTATTGTTGTAAGCTCCCTTTTGATTTTTATAAATTTTAGATTTTATGTTTCCGAGTTACAAGATTTTATTCACAAAAAAGGGGTGATTTTCAAGTTTTTGGACAATATCCTTAAAGTGCTTAGAGCAGTTTTCATTAAACTTTGATGACTGATTTATATCTATTAAGATAACCTCCCTTTAGTTTTTTTTTATAAATTTCAAATATAACATTGAGAAGTTATTGAACTTTATTTGTTTATAGTCTGACAACAGATTTACTAGTATTGCGCAACAGCACAGTGTATTGCACAACAGAAAGAAATCTTTAATTGAATATAAATTCAATTCATATAACCAATTTCAAGTTCTTTGACTACATTTATTCAGAAACCTATAATATGTCAAATATTTAATTACAATCCAAATTCAGACCTGTATCAAGCTTGAATATTGTGTCCATTTTTGCCCCAACTGTTCAGGGTTGGACCTCTGCGGGCGTATCCAGCTGCGCTCAGCCAAGCAGTTTATTGGCTTATATCTCAAAAACTAAATCTTTTAGAGCAAATGTGACATGGGGTAAAATTGTTTAATTGGTCAAGATCTATCGGCCCTGAAATTATCAGACGAATCGAACTACCAATTGTTGGGTTGCTGCCACCGAATTGGTAGTTTTAACAAAATTTTGCAGTTTTTTGCTATTATTTTGAATATTATTATAGATATATATAAACTGTAAGCAGCAATAATGTTCAGCAAAGTAAGATCTACAAAAAAGTTAATATGACCATAATTGTCAATTGACCCCTTAATGAGTTATTGCCCTTTAAAGACAATTTTACACAATTTGTTCATCAAATTTGCTAACATTTAAAAATCTTCTCCTCTGAAATAGAGGTGAGTGATTCAGGCTCTTGAGAGCCTCTTGTTTCATGTGTTGACATGTCAGAGTGTTTTGTATTTGCTTGAAAATAATTTTAGGTCATTCCTTTATTTGCCCCTATGATGTCAACTAAGCAGTAGACAATGTGCGACACTTTTATATAGAACTGGTGTCTTCTGACTTTTCCATTTTTTCATGGTTATTAGTTTTAATGTGTAGAAAAGGTATATAAATTTCCAGCATTGTCTTTAACTGACTGCTGTTAATAATATTGCTATAAATCCCCAAATCAATTATAATGTTTCATATATTACCACTCAAGATATAGTACTACTCCTTATATTGAATTTGATGATCAATTTACAATTAAAGACAAAAGTTGAGGTAGCAGTATACAGTTGGAGGAAAAATGAAATTGACCATCATAAATTTTACCATCTCTTTTTCCTAGCTTTCTTACAAATTAAGCCTACTGTTTGTGTCGTGTATGTTCATATGTATGTAATCAGTATCTTCCATAGAAATGATTTGCAGTAGTTAAAATAGTAAAATATAATTTATTTTAAGTGTATCAATGGCAACAATCTGCATTTATTTGATTTAGAATAAGGGGTGCCAAGATGTCACATATTTCCCCAAAATTTTGCCAAAAGTAGAATTTGAATCCCTTATATTTTCTGAAACTATTTACATGTATCTATAAAAAAATTCAAGATCATATGTCTTTCATCTCATTTTTGCACCAAAAAGTTCTTGTTTAAAAAAGTGTTTGTAAAAATTACAATAATTTCTGGACCTTTGATTGATCGGAATATGAAAAAACGGACTGTCAATCAGAAAATAGCACAGAAAACATTTAAAAACAATCTTGATTTTCATATTAAGCCACTTTAAGGTTTAATTAGTCATCAGCTCTCTAAAAAACTAATTTTATTGCTCAATAACTATCATATTTTAAAAAATCTACCAGTCCAACATGCGAAACCACAGTCCTAAATGTGTAATGCTACCTGACTTAAAATCCTCTTTCAGGTCAATACTACCAACATTTTTATAAGCTATTTTTGTTGTTGCAGCACTTGTTTAAGTACTGAAATTCAAATAAATGACTTCTGGTCTATGTATATATATTAGCAGTATGTATGTGATTTGTCTTTTGTCACATTGCTTGCTAGTTGGTCATTGCCATTTAGTAGGTGGACCGATACATTACAATTAAGATTGACAACTGTGATGAGCAACTTAAAATTAAAGACAAATGTGATGTTTGAAACTCTTCTTTCATGTCAACCAATACTACCAAACTTTGGATTAAAAACATGCTAATGAGATGACTTCTTGTTGATGTGAATTAAAAACTGCACTTGATAGTTTAAATAACCCAGCAACTTCATTTACTTGTAGTGAACCTTAATATATAACTCAATGGACAATTCTTGACATCAATAGTATGTCAGTTTATATATATATCATAGGTTTGAACGTTGTTTTCAATTTAGACTTGTATATATATATATATATATATCCAAATACCGTTTCGATTCCTAACATCACTGAAGAGACATTAATTGTCGAAATCCGGATATGGTGTATAAAAAAAATGTTTGCACCTCATGTTTGAGTTAAACCATCTTTTCCACAAGTTTATTGTTTTCTGTTTGGTATTAAATTAATATTAAGATCCATTTTGTACTGGTGATCAATTTATTTGGCAATCGCCAATGGCAGTCAGCAGGGTTTAAGAACATCCGTTGTTCGACCTGTTAGTCAAATGCGTTTTGTTAAAATATACTTTTTCACTTTTTTTGGTCTTTTGGAAAAATGTTGTTTGTGCTGTATTTAGACCCCTCTAACAAGAAATTTGTTTTGCATGCACACGTATAAAAATTGCGGTTTTTATCCAACGCAATCATAGGTTTGAACGTTGTTTTCAATTTAGACTTGTATATATATATATATATATATATATATATATAGAACTGGTGTCTTCTGACTTTTCCATTTTTCATGAGAATTAGTGTTGCTCTGTAGAAAAGGTATCGAATTTTCCATCCATAAAATTGAGAATGGAAATGGGGAATGTGTCAAAGAGACAACAACCCGACCATAGAACAGACATCAATGTCTATAAATGACTGCTGTTAATAATATTGCTATAAACCCAACATAAAGATAATGATCAATTATTAATAATTTATACATTACCGTTCCAGATATAGTATTGCTTCAAATGAATTTGTCGATCCATTTAAAATTAAAGGTGGAGTTCAAATCCTCTTTCATGTCATTGACAATACTACCAACATATTTTACATTACTAGTACTTTTATTACTGTAACGTCGCTGATTTAAGTACTAGAATACAAATGAAACGACTTCTTGTCTATTTAATTAACAGTGTGTTTGTGATTTGTTTTGTTAGTTTGCTTGCTAGTTTGATATCATTGCTGTTTAGTATTCAGACTGATACATTATAATAAAGATTGATATCTATGATGATGAACTCGAAATTAAAGATGAAGGTCGATTTTAAATTGAAATCGTTTTTACTCTTTCTGTAATTCATGTCATTCATCCTTTTCCATTCATGTGTCCCAAGATTTTAAGTAACTTTGGTACACTTCTTTCACATTGAAGGTTATTCATGAAAGGTGATTCGTTTATTGATATTTTACTCATCAGCTTTTTTAAATCTTAGATGTACGTAGAAAACAAACTCACCGCCAAGACAGTTTAGATTGGTTTTCAAATTTGATATCCGGGCACTCCGGCTTCCTCCACTAATAAAAACTGACCGCCTCGAAATAGTACAATAGTGCTAAAAGTGGTGTAATAACACCAATCAAACAATAAATCAATCAAATTTGATACATTGCAGTTATGTATCAATTTTCATCTCTTCAGAAATATGTTACTCAAAAGAGTTTCCAGAAATTACCATAAAGAGCCCAATTGACTTTTGAAGTGCGACCCATTTGTTTTTATTATATAATATTTCCGGTTGATACTTATTATAAATTTTCTCCTATGGGAAAATTTTATTGTATTTCCTGCAATTTATTTTTTAAAAGAAAATAAGTAAGCTGTACAAAAACCCTACGTATGAATAGCATCTTTGATTTTCTGCCAGAAAATTACATCTCCCTGTTCGTCATTCGGATATTCAATATACGATTGATTCTGAATAAGTTCATATAAAACTAACGGCAACTCTTCTGGTAAAAGTTTCTCGTAAAATACCAAAAACAAAGTATTTTTACCATTTCTTGAATGGATACTTTCCATTCTGGCCATGTTGAATTCAAACATGCAGTAATAAGAGTCCAGAAATGATCTAGTTATTATGCAGATTGTTTTTCGGCTGTTCTGGATAGCATTTATTATATTATCTGTGATATATTCTCCGGGCACGAAATCGCGCTGGTGTATGCATAGCTTTAAGACACCTTGTTCAAGATTTTCAATGCAGTCGTTAATTACAAATTCTCGGTCTTTATCAGAATATGATATGAAGGCATCATAAACATACTCAGTCAATTCTTCATCTGATTTTTTTTGGGCATATTTTAGTTTTGCTGTGTAGAAAATGTATCGAAGTTTCCATCGATGTCTATAAATGACTGCTGTTAATAATATTGCTATAAATGCAAAAACAGCAATAGACGCGATTACCATCAGATACGAATAATCCATACATTCCCTCTCAAGATATAGTACTACTTCTTCAAATAAATTTGAAGGTGACATGCTCCCATTCAGGTATTTACATTTAAAGTGAGAAAAGGTTATGAAATGTTCGCGCCTACGCTGCATCCACGTTAAAAATGAAAGTGTATAACAGTTACAATGAAGCGGGTTGTAATTGAGATCAATTTGTAATATGTTGTCGCTTTTCGTAAGAATTCTGTCCAAGTTTGTAATAGACTTGTGGTCTAAATGGTTTATTGCGTTGAATGAAAGGTTCAGAATATGCAACTTCACCAAAGGGGACAGGTCACAATTAACCTCTTTCAGGCTGTTATAACTTATGTCAATAATTCGTAGATACGGTTGTTCGTTGAATATTGCTGTATTAAGATTTGAAATTGAATTGTTAGCTAGACATACATATTCAAGTTTACTTTCACTTTTTATCATGTAGCTGTTATTTTCTAGGTATTTACCGAGAGCATTACCTTGTAAGTTGAGGTATTTAACATGTGTTAGATTCAGCAATATCTCATTTAAGGAATTCATACTAAGATTAAGTATTTGAAGACTTTGCGGTGATGGAACTGATCTTCCAGTCGGAAATACTACATTAACATTGTTTGTGAAACGTAGTTCACGTATAGACGTATTTAACAACATTTCATTAACTTCTTCCCATGGAAAAGTATTCACAGTTTGAGCTGTTTCCCAAACATCCTTCATATCTAAAACCTCGATTTGTGTCATTGCCAAACTCAAAACCATATCAACCATCATTAACTGGTCAAGTTTATATTCAGAAAAACCACTAAGATCTAGTTTTAATACTTTCAACTTTGGAAGTTGAGAAAATGCACCAGATTTAACGTTGGTTACAACACATTTTTGTATATATATATGAGTTAAATAAGGTGTGTATTTAAAGGAATCGTTGAAAAGAGGAAGGTGGCCACACGTATCAAACTTTAATGACTGTAGGTTTTGAAGTGATGCATACCCTGGTCCCAGATAATGTACATTTTTGAAAACACGTCTTCCAACATCAACATCAAGTTCTATTTTTTCTAGATTAACTAAATCGACAATTGTCGAATCTGGAAAAATGCAAATACGGGGATGGGAATACACATTGTTGTTTTGAATAGACAACTGTCTAAGTGATTTTAGAGGTTTAAAACATCCAGGAGGAACTTGCCGAGTATTATAACTCAGGCTGTTTTTGTTGAGATTGAGATACCGTAGGTTTTCTAGTCCTGTAAAGGTCTGTTCATTTATTGATTTCAAGCGGTTGAATGATAGATCCAGTACTGAAAGAGTAATTAAATATTCAAATGTATTATTTGGTATTTCTATAGAGTTGCTGATGAAAGGAATATTTCTGTTAAGTTTAAGATGCCTTAGGTTAATAAGTCCTTTAAAAGATTTATTCCTTATCCTTGGGAGTAACATGTTGTGTGATAGATCCAAAACTGTAAGACTGGTCATATCTTCAAAGGTGTTGTTCGGTATTGATACTATAAAGTTATCATTGAGTTTAAGGTGACGCAGATTTTGAATTCCAACAAATGTTTGTCTGTTAATAGACTTCAATCTGTTGAATGATATATCCAAAATAGTCAGATTTTTCAAATGTTCAAATGTTCCATTTGGTATCTCCTTGATTAAGTTATCCTCAAAATCGATATAAACAGCGTTTGATGGTAAATCAGGGATTTTCGTCAGGTTTTTATGTGAACACTCAATATGCAACTTTCCGTTTGTGTAAAATTTTGCACATGGAAAAGTCAGTTTACAATTGCTCATATTACTTCTTGTGATACCTAAACAATATACGCTGCTCAACGACAGGATCAATATAAACTGAGTTAACGAAGTTTGTTCCATCCTTTCTTTATTCTGCACTGTCTGTAAAAGATTATAAACAGTAATATAAATTGAAATAATCAATTACATATGCACTAAGCTATAAACATTCATTTATAGAAATAAATGATGGAGAGGTAATAGTTGAGAATGTCTTTTAAAAATACCTAAAATTAATTTCAAGTTTAACCTTTTTTCAATTGTACTTTAATAATGTTTTACACAACCTTGATATGTTTATTCTAAATAGCTTCACGAGATTTTGATATCGGTAAACATTGTTGCCCCTTACTATTAACAAAATCGTCTGATTTGACATGGATTATTATATATTTTCGATTTTATGTAATACAAGAAGTACAATTGTGACTTTTGCATGACTTTACGAAAGATATATGTTGTTTCCAAGAACTGTATAAAATAAGTCAACGGCTTCTGCTAAGTTTCTTATAGAATGTTAGAAATTAGAAAGATAAAGTATTCCTCTCTACCTTGGTATGTGCTTCGTCACCTAAATATCATTGAATTTTAAGCTTCACCTTTTTATGCCCCCGCCGTAGCAGAGGGGGCATTAAGTTTTACCCTTGTCCGTCCGTACGTGCAAAGTTGGTTTCCGTTCTCTAGCTTTAAATTAATTGCCTCAACCAAATATTATGAAACTTGTACACAATGCATATTACCACAAAATACAGATCATATTTGAATTTTGGGGGTGTCACTTTTATTGTTCTAGAGTTATGCCCCTTTACAAATGGAAAAATTGCTGAATATTTTGTTTCCGTTCTCTAACTGAAGTTTGCCTCAACCAAATGCTATGAAAATTATATTCAATGCTTATTACCACAAAATACAGATCAAGTTTGAATTTTGGTGGTGTCACTTTAACCGTTCTAGAGTTATGCCCCTTTACAAATGAAAAAAAATGCTGATTTTTTTGTTTCCGTTCTCTAACTTATATTAGCCTCAACCAAATGTTATGAAACTTATAGACAATGCTTATTACCACATAATACAGATCAAATTTGAATTTTGGGGGTGTCACTTTTATTGTTCTAGAGTTATGCCCCTTTACAAATGGAAAAATTGCTGAATCTTTCGTTTCCGTTCTCTAACTGAAGTTTGTTTCAACCAAATGCTATGAAACTTATATTCAATGCTGATTACCACAAAATACAGATCAAGTTGAAAGTTTGGTGGTGTCACTTTAACCGTTATAGAGTTATGCCCCTTTACAAATGGAAAAATTGCTGAATTTTTTGTTTCCGTTCTCTAACTTAAGTTAGCCTCAACCAAATGTTATGAAACTTATACACAATGCTTATTACCACATAATAAAGATCAAGTTTGAATTTTGGGGGTGTCACTTTTATTGTTCTAGAGTTATGTCCCTTTACAAATGGAAAAATTGCTGAATTTTTCGTTTCCGTTCTCTAACTTAAGTTTGCCCCAACCAAATGCTATGAAACTTATGTTCAATGCTTATTATCACAAAATACAGATCAAAATCGGAATTTTGGGGGTGTCACTTTAACCGTTATAGAGTTATGCCACTTTACAAATGGAAAAAATGCTGAATTTTTTGTTTTTGTTCTCTAACTTAAGTTAGCCTCAATCAAATGTTATGAAACTTATACACAATGCTTATTACCACAAAAACAGATCAAGTGTGTTTTTTGGGGGTGTTACTCTTATTGTTCTAGAGTTATGCTCCTTTACAAATGGAAAACTTTTTGAATATTTCATTTCCATTCTCTAACTTAAGTTTGCCTCAACCTAATGCTATGAAACTTATACACAATGCTTATTACCACAAAATACAGATCAATTCGGAATTTTGGTGGTGTCACTTTAACTGTTATAGAGTTATGCCCCTTTACAAATGAAAAAAATGCTGAATTTTTTGTTTCTGTTCTCTAACTTAAGTTAGCCTCAACCAAATGTTATGAAACTTATACACAATGCTTATTACCACAAATACAGATCAAGTTTGTTTTTTGGGGTGTCACTCTTCTTGTTCTAGAGTTATGCCCCTTTACAATGGAAAAATTAATCTCTAACTTAAGTTTGCCTCAACCAAATGTTATGAAACTTATACACAATTGTTATTACCACAACACTCAGATGAAGTACAAATGGGTAGCGTCACTTTTACCGTTCTTCAGTTATGTTCCTTTATATCTTTTTATGATAGACAAGCGGGGGCATCATCTGTGTCCCATGGACACATTACCCATTTATTTTTCCCTCTAACAAACGAAATATTAGTGGTATGTATAAATTTCTCACACTGGAATACACGATATAAATGAGTGCAATTATCATATAGTAAAATCACAAAAATACCGTACTCCAAGGAAAATTCAAATCGAAAAGTCCTTTATCAAAGGGCAACATCAAAAGCTCAAACACATCAAACGAATGGAAAACAACTGTCATATTCCTCACTAGGTACAGGCACTTCCTTATGTAGACAATGGTGGATTAAACCTGGTTTTATAGCTAGCTTAACCTCTCACTTGTATGACAGTCGCATAGAATTCAATTATATTGACAACAATGTGGGAACAAAACAAAAAGACATAATAGGCGAAGATGTCAAAAATTTGGGTTCAGTAGTCAACATTGTGTTATAATCTTAATCACTTTAAAACAAAGAAAAAACAAAATAGCATATGGACACTCTATAGACAAAGCACATAAACAAAAATGAAAGACAAGAATACGAAAAATGACCCTAGCCCATAACACAAGGGCGGGATATATAAATACCGAGCCACGCCGAAAGTATATTACAAAAATGGACTAAACAGTATAGGTTAAAAATATACAAAGACAAATAAAAAGAACACTATAACACATAATTAAGATGATAAAAATGTCAGTACCTAGAATCTATACTTCAAGACCATCATATATTATTTGAGAAGTTGATACGGAATATTTACCAACAAGGTCCTGGTATCTTCCCGATGAACTTTTTTTAGAAAAAGGACGAGTACAAAAGTTTCAAAAAACATCTAATAAGTGGAGATAATTTAGACTGACATGATAAAGAATAATAAGTGCGAAATATCTTTCTGTGAGGTCACTAATAGCAGAAAGTTTTAACGTGTAATTTTATTGTCTTATTAAAGATCTAGTTTGATATATTTATTTGGGTGCCTTATAGTTTAACTTTGTTCGTCCTACCACTGTATGAATTAAATTTTACACAGTTGTTGCGTAGGTGTGTATTTCTTTTTACAAGTCGGTCGCTCGTTCCTGATTTATTTCTCTATGGACTTATATGAACAATGGGATCCTATTACTCCATCGGGCCTTACATAATTGTCAGTTGAGCAACAACATCAAGAGGTTATGATTGTCTTGCTGTAGAGGAATAATAACATTAAGGGTACCATTTTTTATACGACCGCAAAATTTTTTTTGGGATCGTATAATGGTATGATGTCGTCGTCGTCGTCTGCGTCGTCTGCGTCTGCGTCGTCGTCCGAAGACACATTGGTTTCAAGCCAATAACTTTAGTTTAAGTGAATGGATCTCTATGACATTTTTTAAGGAGGTTTAATACCACGAAAGGAAGGTTGGGATTGATTTTGGGGATGATGGTCCCAACCGTTTAGGAATTAGGGGCCCAAAAGGGGCCCAAAACAAGCATTTATCTAGTTTCAGGATAACTTGTGTATAAATATTTCGATTGCTCTGAAATTGTACCACAATGTTTAATACCACAAGTAGAAGGTTGGGATTCATTTTAGGGTTATGGGGCCAACAGTTTAGGAATTAAGGGCCAAAAAGGGGCCAAAAACAAGCATTTTTCTAGTTTCCAGACAATAACTTGTGTGTAAGTGTATGGATCTCTCTGACATTGTACCACAAGGTTCCATATAACAAAAGGAAGGCTGTGATTGAGTTTGGGGTTTATTGCCCCAAACATGTAGGAATTAGGGGCCAAAAAAGGGCCAAAAACAAGCATTTTTCTAGTTTCCAGACAATAACTTGTGTTTAAGTGTATGGATTTCTCTGAAATTGTACTACAATGTTCCATACTACGAAAGGAAAGGCTGGGATTGAGTTTTGGGGTTATTGCTCCAAGGGGGGTTTCAAAAAATTGGGGTGGGGGGATTTTTTTCCAATTTGTTTATGGGATTCATATTTTTTCAAAATTTTTCAAATTTCGAATTTTTGAAAAGTTTCAAGAAGAAATCTTCAATCGACAGTATTGCGCAATATATTTGTAAGATCTTTGACCACATTTATTTTGTGTCAGAAAACTATATTATGTCAAAAATTTGATCACAATCCAAATTCAGACAGTATCAAGCTTGAATATTGTGTCCAAATTTGCCCAAACTGTTCAGGGTTCGACCTCTGCGGTCGCATAAGGCTGCGCTCAGCGAAGCATTTTATTAGCACTAGATGTGCATTTCGACAATCAATGTCTCTTCAAAGGGAACAAAAATGCCCTCAGTGTAACCCTTATTAATTTTAGTTTTGATGTTTTTCTCATAAGAAAATATATTTTAGTAAGATGTCTACACAGTACGAAATAGCAAGTGACAAACTGCCGTATTTGCATGGCAATTAAAGAAACAATTCATTCGTGTCTTCATTTGTTATTTATTGCTATATTTTTTTCTGTTTAGATTTGTTTTTATTGATTTTGTTTCCGAAAGCTTACAATATTGTGGATTCTCATTATCTGCATGGTACTCACTTTGGTGTAAACAATATTTTATTATGAAATCTACAAAATACAATATATATTCACATTCACAAATAGGATTCAGAAACAAGCAACAAGTGCTTATGTTGATATAGATGAACTTCGAATTGAAGTGTACAACGAATTACAAATTTCCTAAAGGTTTGTATACAGAATAGAAATAGAAAATACGTTGTTCACGGCTGATTACATTAGTATTGATGTTTTCTTTCTATTTTGATCAAACTTGAGAATGATCTTTTGCAAAAGGATCTTGTACTACACCATAAAGTTTGCAGAGCCTTTTATGCTAATGCAAAAGAGGCCCATGCTGATTTAATGCTTTGTCGAAGATTTCGTCGAGCATTATCCTTAAAACAAGTAATCACATTTTAACCATAAGTTTACGATATTTGAAAAATCATGACAAAATTGCCTTACCCTTTTGATAATTAGGTGGTTTAATCATAAGATATTTGGGATATTTACTTCCATGAAGGCTGTATCCTGTTATTTAGATACATTTGAAGTGTTTGAGGAAATTTTAAAGCAAGTGGTGTTTATTTTTGGATATATTTTAATAAAGTGTCTAATTTTAAGAATGTGGAGAGACAACTCGTAAAAACACAATGCGAAAGATTGTTTATTGATGAATATAAATGCTGATTAATGGAAGTATCCATTAAGGTTAAAAGGTTAAGAACTTTAAAGTATTAGCATTACCAACCCAAAACGAAAGGAGTTATTGAAAACATGTTATTTCATATGTAATGAACTGCATACTTCTCTGTCATTAGCTTAATTTTACGAATTTAACCGTGGTTTTCTTCTTATAAAATATTTTCCCTGAATGTAAATGCCAACATAATATTAAAAAAGGTTATCAAAACAATTGCCAGTAAAACTTAGTGTTGCTGTGTTTTTGATGCATTGAATTTACAGATAAGAGCCACAGTTTTTGTATTAATTCAAAGCCGATTGATTTTATTATATTATTGCTTGCTTCATGGGTTGATGTGCAATATGTTTAGGAACAAGACCTTATAACTTAACATCTTAACAGCACATGTTTTCAAACATGGGAAATCTTCCCTCTCCTGCTATATAAATAAAAAAACCACACAATTTAAACCTTATCATTGTGAATCACCGAATGTTTACTTATCATGAGCTACAGGACAGGTGGTATATATGGAGAAGGATCTGCGTGTTCTTCCGAAACACCTGAGGTCATTCCCGGCTTTTGTTTGGGGTTCGTTCGTTTGAGTGGGGCTCTTTAGTTTTCTGTGTAGTGTTTTATTGAATTATTTGTCTTTTCGTGTTTGTTTGGTCTTTTACCATGGCGTTGTCAGTTTCTCTTCGACTTTTGAGAGTCCTTTTGGTACCTTTTGGCTCTTTCTTATGAACAAGTTGTAGAGCTATTAAGAACCGTTATAACTCCTTATATGCACATCAATAAAAGCTATGCCTAATCCTGATTAACTTTTCAGAAGAAGAGGAGTTTGTACGTGAAATAAAACCATCCCGCCATCAAAGAAATGACAGTGATGGCCGAAGTGATGGGAGTGACCGTAATCGGCAAGGCAGACGACAAGACAAAAGATCAAGTTCTAGTGATCCCTATGGTAGCCGTGATGACACGCCCGATAGTAGTGATGCGGATAATTTTTCAGGTAGTTATGATGGAAGCATTGAGGACAAAGTTGAACGACGTCGATCAAATAATAGAAAGAACGAGCGTCCGACAAGTTATAAACCGGGAGTCAAAAATAGGAACAGTAGTGAATTAAAACGGGCAGGCGAATCCAGAGGATATCAAAATCGTAGTTTTGAAGAAGAACCAAATCGCCACAGAACCAGAACTCCGCCACCACCACCATCATTTGTCCCGCCTCCACCACCAGCAAATAGACCACCATCGGCTGGCAAAAAGTATCACCCAACTGGCCAAGGTAAGATATAAAGTTTCAATATACATATAGGGATCATATGTGCTCCAATCTTATATACCTTTAGTTTTATTAATATCTGGTGTATGTGTGATGTAAAGGTGATCATAAACATTACATTTTACACTTCTTTAGATGGTCAGAAACATATAAAGTTAAGTTTAAGTTTTTTAAATTGCTCATATAGGATGAATTTTCCTTTCAATTGGTTATACGATATATAACTATTTATGTCGGCGTCTCTCTGTTGACAGATACATTTTATATACTTTTTTGTTCACCTGGTCCAATTGATCGACCTTGCAAGCTATTGTTTTCACTTGGCATTCGTCGTCGTTAACTTTTTTAAACTATTCTTTCATGAAACTACTGAATCAATTTCAACTAAACTTGGCCTGAATGGTCTTTATGGTACTAGTATGTAGCATTAAATTTGTGTTTTATATCTCTGATAACCAAATAACATGGCCACTATGGCTTAAAAATAGAAGATAATTGCGGAATGAAGTAATTGTCTATTGTATTGAAATGTTTAAAACATTTTGATATCTAACCTTTCTCACTTATGGATTATAATAATAAAAACATATCTATAAAGAAAATTGAGATAGCTTGAAAAGAATGAAATGCTCTATTGTTATGGACATAGTTAAGTAAAATGGTAAAGCGAAGTAACTAATTAATATGTACTTTAATATACTCAGTACACTCTCAGACAATATTTAATATTCTTCCTCGACTTTTGCAGCTATAAGATATCTTATTGCCTTGACAGTTTTTATACGACCGCAAAAAAATTTTTGTGGTCGTATATTGGTATGACGTTGGCGTCGTCGTCGTCGTCGTCCGGCGTCGTCGTCCGAAGACGCATTAGTTTTCGCACTCTAACTTTAGTTTAAGTGAATGGATCTCTATGAAATTTTACCATAAGGTTCAATTCCACAAAAGGAAGTTTGGGATTGATTTTAAGGGTTATGGTACCATCAGTTGAGGAATTAGGGGCCAAAAAGGGGCCAAAAATAAGCATTTTTGTAACTTCAAGACATAACTTGTGTGTTAGTGTATGGATCTCTCTGACATTGTACCACAAGGTTCCATATCACAAAGGGAATGCTGGGATTGATTTTTGGGGTAATTGCCTCAAATTTTAGGAATTAGGGGCCAAAAAAGGGGCAAAATACAGGCATTTTTCTAGTTTCATGACAATCACTTGTGTGTAAGTGTATGAATCTTTATGAATTTGTACTACAAGGTTCCATATCACAAAGGGAAATCTGGAATTGAGTTTTGGGGTAATTGCCCAAAACGTTTAGGATTTTGGGGCCAAAAAGGGGAAAAAAAACAAGCATTTTTCTAGTTCCAGACAATGACTTGTGTTCAAGTGTATGGATGTCTCTGAAATTGTACTGCAAGGTACCATACCACAAAGAGAAGGCTGGGATTGATTTTGGGGGTAATTGCCTCTAAATGTTAGGAATTGGGGGCAAAAAAAGGGCCAAAAAACAAGCATTTTTCTAGTTTCCAGACAATGACTTGTGTGTAAGTGTATGGATCTCTCTGAAATTGTACTGCAAGGTACCATACCACAAAGGGAAGGCTGGGATTGAGTTTGGGGGTGATGAATCATAAGGGGGTTCCTTTTTTTTTTCTTTAAAATTTTCCATTTTAAATTGGTTATTTCTGATTTTATATATAAAAGCAAATAATAATGATATGGTTTGAATAGGTAAATTAAAATTTTTTTAAGTTCTTAAACCACATTCATTCTGTGTCAGAAACCTATGCTGTGTCAAATTTTTAATCACAATCCAAATTTAGTGCTGTATCAAGCTTGAATGTTGTGTCCATACTTGCCCAACTGTTCAGGGTTCGACCTCTGCGGTCGTATCAAGCTGCGCCCAGCGGAGCATTTTATTATATCACCTGTTTTTGTATTGAAAGTCCCTGTGTTTCGTATGATAAAAAGAAGACAAGACACCAAGGAGGCAATAGAAAATCATCAGTCCATAAAAACAGATAACACTATGATCATAAGAAAAACAACAAAAAGACAAACATTTATAACAAAACAGTTCACAGAAAAATTGAAGATTGAGGTACACGAACTCCACAAAAAGCATGCGGCATGCACCGTTCAAACTAAAACATAATTTTCTGCTTATTATAGAGTATCTTTGCATGTCTTGCGTCACAAAATATCCTGTTTTTTTTCCTAAAACAACCACATTATACTAGAAGGTTACATTTTGTAATATTTGAATTAAGAAATCCGATCAAGTGTCAACTATTGTGTCTTAGGTTTAATGTGTAGTACAGTTTCCACATGTACACAGCTATATTTGTTTTACAGCAAACAAACGACAACAAGACCAGTTACACAATGAATTGTCCCAGAGACTAGCAGGAAAGCCAGCCGTAAAGAGTAAACCTCAAAATCAGAACGTGTATCTGTCTACAAAATCATCAGCCAAAGAAGTCGTCGACTGGTTATATTCTAAATCCTTTTCTCAGAAGTATGTTTATGTATCATAGTCTTTAACTGTATCAATAGTTTCAAAGAAAAAGAAGTTGTATAATGACAACGAAATATTTTCATGTTTCAATCTATGACAATACATTTCTGGAATTCATTGTCATACCTGTCTATGGTATCTTGAAGTGGACAATTTAACCTATTGTGAGATTCTACTTTTAGCTCCAGGGTTTAGTGCTGCATAACCTGATATATTTGTTTTTTTAATTTTTAGGTGTATTGATGTGTTAAGAGGATATAATGGCCACGATTTACTTAGAATGAAGATGAAGGATCTGGAAAGGTTGATAAGTCACGATGAAGCACAAAGATTGGATGGTCATCTCACACTTCAGAAAAATATGTCAGGAGTATGTACTTATATCTTTTAAGGTGAAAAACAATGAAAATTGTTTCATGCTTTTTTGTTCCAGTGGTACTGGTTCATATAAATAAACCTTTGTCACTGAAATATAAAATATTTCATGAATTATTTGCATATATTCTCATAAAAAAATTAACAGGAAAATTTCTCAGTGTAAGTTATTGATCAGTAGTCAGAGCTTCGGTATTTGCATGGTTTATAACAAACCTTTCTTAAATTGTCCCTCTATAAATTTTGAAATTATTAAGAACTAAAGTGCCAAGTTCCTTAGACAAAGTTGACCTTAGATGGAATTGACTTTTATTTTTTATCCCTTTCGGTCATATAGCTCAGATTCATATATATCTTTGGCTTTCGCAGTATAAAACACAGGGTCCAAAAGAACTGCAGGCAATATTACAGCAGAGGAAACAGAAGGCAGACACACACGATGATGATGTTGGTCGACCACCTAGTTTTGCCCCAGATTCACCTGACTATTCTGATGATAATTCTGAAGGTAAGGTGCTTGCTTTCTTAGCTTTAGATGAATAATATTAAATCTTGCTTCAGCTTTTCAAAATGCAAGATGTTAAGATATAAAGGTAATATTTTTATTTATCCTGGAGAAAAGTTATAGCATAGATTGCTAATTTCAGCTAGTTTTCACAATTGATATTTTCTGCATCACTTGTAAAGCACATTCATACAAGAACCTTTTCTCTTGCTGATTAATTATCAGCCATACAATTTAATAAATTTGAAGTGTGCATAAAACAGCGTATGATTAATACTATAATATTTTTTAAAGAAGAAGGTTTTTATTATCGTCAACTTATGTATAAATGTTCAAATAATTTTGTGTATAAATAAACAATTATTCTTTCATTGTTTACATACATGATAAAATAATGATTTTTACTTGATAGTAGACTTATGCAATGTAAAATGCAAAAATATGCATGGACATTCACATTTTTAAAATAAAGATTTTTTTGGAAGAGGTTTAATGATGTACTAGTATATAAATAACAATGATTAAAATATAGCTATTCTAAAGAATAAACTTTATGAGATGGATACTGTGTATTATTATATTTTATTTACAGTCCAAGGAATTACAGATGATTTAGACAATATGCTTAGCAATTATTAAATGGTAAATTTCTGTTCACCAATATACACGTGTTCTGCTTAAAATTATATTCTTTCTATATCATTTGCTTAATCTAACAGATATTATTACCCCATATTGTATAAAAGTTATTATAAGAAGACACAGTGAAAGTAAAATATTTTTTTTTCAATTTCCATTTTTTAATATTTATGATGTAACTAGTATTTCGATATGTGTTCAATTTATAAACAATAGTATACATTCTTCTTATATGTAGAGTGACATAATTTGATAAAAGCAATATCATTTAAAAGTTGATTTGATATTGGTTAAAATGAAACAATATTATTGTTTGAATGGGGAGTGTTTTTTAAGAAAGATCTGACAGCCATGTTTGCAAAATTAACTTTGTAATTTTAAGTAAAATAAAAACAACTTTCATTTAGATCTTTTTGATCAAAATTTTCGATCAGTAATGTATAACATATAATTCAGGAACAAAAGACAAGTAAAGACATTGGTTTATGTTTATACAGTATAAATTTTTTGACTTTTATTTGTATACAGAATGAACATTCAACTTTGCAATCTTTTTTATTTTTGTTAAATTGGTACTTTAATCTCTTCACATATAATATTTGTTCTTATGTTTTCTCGTTTTCTTCATGATTCACACGAAACACCTGAAATAATGAATGCAAAGTCAACAGACATTACGAATGAGTTATCTAGCATGTTTTGAAATCAACAGTTCATTGTTTATTATTGCAAACAATAATCCAGTTATTATATTTTAGTATCTTCGTTGTTTATTTTGCCCTTTGTGCTGCCGGTACAGATATACTATATACTGTAAAAATCTCATCAAAGATACCAGGCTTCAAATTTTGTATGTCAGACACCTGTTTTGTCTATAAAAGACTCATCACTAACGCCCAAAAAAGGATTGTTAAACGGTCAAATAAAGAACGAGGTTGAAAAGCATAAGTTTCTTTTTTACATCAGAAGGAAGTATTCACGCAAGCAAAGAAGTACTATTTAAAAGAAATTTGCTTTTGTGTTATCTTTTGTCATCTTAAAAACGAAAACTTGACATTTTAAAGGAAAATATAACTTTCTTTGTTTAAGTGTCACTCATCATGTTTTAAATTCAAAAAGTCGTATTTAGCATATGATTGTTTTGTTGTCGATCCTGGCAAGTATAGTAGTGAAGTGATTCTATTTGTGTCTTGCAGCTTGCATATTTGTATGTACTTAATCTTGCGCTAGTAGTAAATTACTAATATATTCTGCATGTATTACTAATTGTGTGATGATTGAATTTGGTACTTCGTTTAATTTTGCAGGTGTATTATACTAAAGATACATCATAGTGCATTTCTGTTTGAATTCACTTATTCTATGATTTTACATGTACCTGTCTGGATGCCATTCATTTTAATGAGTATTATAAATTTCTGTGAAATGGCATCCTGCCAAATACTGTGTCCTGATTTTGACATTTTGACTGAGTGTGGATTTGCGTGGCGGGTAATGCATGCAAAGCTGGAGACGCTTACCCTGTCAACGTACCCGGTCTCGCTCCTTTGGGAGTTCATGCATTTCCCCTCAGTTTTTTTGTTTGTTACCTTGATTTACCTTCTTAATCAATTTACGAAATTTGAAATCCGTAAACTACTGTTGCCTTAATTTAAAAACTGACAGCATGAGATACTGTTTTCTGGCGTCCTGTATGAACTAAGACAGTTTCAAATAAAGCAACCATTTCTCCTATCAAAACGGAATACGCATTGATATTTGATTTTTTCAAGAAATGGGGAAAAATAATACACAAAGCTTTTTGTTCTTATTTAATTGTGGATTAACGTTAAAATACAACCCTGTTGGTTGTTAGTAGTATCCCCTAAACTAGTATAATATAGAAATGATGTTACTTTATACCAATATGTTGGTTATGACATGATAACTGATCTCCTATACGAACATCTGCTTTAGTCCACATCATAGTATATTTGCAAGATGTCCACATATTCTATTACGCCTAATAGGGTACACAGTTGCATGAAATTGTTTAAAACATATTTTACACTCATTCATATTTAAAAAAAATAACATCTTTTTAGAATATGATGGTGCTAGATTAATTCATTTGCAAATTCTTTACTCAGCAAAGGATGAACAAATATTTATAACTTATTATGCATGAAAAAGATGTTGAGGTCTATTCTTGCAGATGTAAAGGTAAACATTTTTAACTAAAGCAATTCTTTGGAATTCTCCACGAGTGAGTCACAATTATATCTTAAACTTTCACTCTAAATTCATTCAAATGCAAACGTTATCCATGTTTGTATATTGACTGCTGCCAGGACTTGTTTATTGACAAAGGTAAGATACTGCAATTAAGTAACTGTATAAGAACCCTAAGTTAACTAAAGAAATGAAATAAAAGATATCACAAATTTCTGTTTGTTTTGTTTTAGCCTCTGAAGAAGACTTTGGTAATGCTGGTAAAACATTACGAGCGCTTCTACAACATCAGCGAAAGAAGATTACCAGCTACAGATATGAACAATAACATTTTGATATCATTGTTTATATAGGTTAAGGTAGATCTTAACGGTGTCGAAATTAAAAACGATAGAATATTTCATGTTTCAGCTAACATATAATTTATATGATGCTACTTTCAAAAATGTAATAAAAATATGGGTCACAGGACTTTTCCAAGCTACAGGTTGTGCAAAGTTGTAAGATTCTGTATAGATTTTATATGAAAAACACTTTTGGGTATACAGAACTTAAACTAAACTATAGAATATTAAAATAAAATTTGAGATGAGATGAAAGCTCTTATAATGGACTTTCAGAAAACAAATGGGGTCACTGTACTTGTTTTCTTACTACCAAACAAAAAATGTAAATTAAATTACATTTCTTTAAAGAATTGATATCTATATGAATGAGTTTGGCATTTTTTTTTAACCAAACACAAAATATTCTGTATTTGTAAAAAATAGTTGTAATTTTAGAATGAAACGAATCATTTTCAACATTCATATGAAAAGTCTGACGACTGAATTGCATGTCTGTCTTAAATGTGCATGTTTTATGAAAGTCTTAAACGATTGCTTTACAATACAAAATAGCAGAGCCCTGATATACTTTAACTAGAAAATAAATACAGAATTATAAAAAAGGCTCCTCTACTGTTACATCTCTCTGTAGATATTGAGTAAGATCGTCATATAAAAGTCATGAATTTCGAATATGTGAGAAAAATATAAAGTGTAAGTCATGTTATATTTTTATGATTATCCTCAAAGTTAGCACTTCTGGTGCTTAAATTCATGTTTCAGATATATTATAACATAATTTTAACATAACATATTGGAGTTTTTCATTTCCATTCTTTTGTTATATTCATTTTAATTCTATAATATATATTGTTAGATATCTTATAAATACCGTACACTTTAATTTGTATCTTCACTCTTTAATCAGTAAATATCTTGTTTCATTAAATGCCTATATCATTTTCCTTTGTTTAAAACAAAAAAGTATTATATATATGATACACAGCTGATTGTGTATACATTTGCCCTGTTTTCCCTTTAGCAACCATCTTTACTCTGCAGGCAGAGTTGATTATTGATCAGGATAACTTGATAAGCAAATCAACAAAGGAAATAGATCTTACCAAAAGAATATGTTCATTTATAAAGAGTGATAAGGGATTTACAAGTTAAAATTGTGAATGTTTTATTTGGAAAAATTAACAGCGTTTTACAAGATACACAGCATAAGCCAAATCTTGCCATTATTTTGAAAAATTAACAGCATTGTATAAAATACACAGCATAAGCCAAATCTTGCCATTTATAAAAGTGCAATTCCTTAATTTATTATTCTTTGCTCTTATATTTTGTTATTATATTTGAAAATATTGCATTTTGATTGGCTTGTAAATATTTGGTGATAAAAATATTGAAATATACTTTTTAACATCAGTTAAATAGTTATGAATTTGTTCCGTTATGTCATGTTTTATGCATCACAATGTTAAACCTGGCACTTTTGAAGATAGGTTTATGTTTTAGGTAATTGTTCTTTGGATAATGTTTTTATGCAATCGTGTGTAGAGATTTTGTGTCATGAAACGTTACACAATATCCTTTCTTTTCCATTATATATAAGAAATTTGACTTCTATAATTCTTTTATCAAAGATATCCATGTATTTGGTTACTATGCAAAAAATGAAACATCATGTATTATCTCTATGTTTTAATTTGTATAATTGTATTGAAGCATTATTGATATGTTTTCAAAATGGCACCTGTACATTTATGTCATTTACATATTTGTCTATGAATATTTTATATTCTGAAAAAGAAGTTGTTTTGTTGAAAAAGAATAACTGAGATATATACATCATAAACCTGTACATTTTAACAACTATATTTATCATTTTATACAAAATCACACAAGAATGTTTTAGTGCAAAGGCTTAATGGAAGTCCCACCGAAGTCAAAATCATATATTCGTTCTGTTTAGGTCTGTGATAAACAGTTGTTTAAATATAATTCGCATAGTTTTTTTGTGTAACAATAAAGTAAGCAGTGTATTTAGACTATCAATATGTAGCTACTCAATTGGTTAGTGAGCTGGGGATACAATTATATCTTTGTATACAGATAACATATCCCATTTTAAGAGTATATTTATCTACTTATATAAAGCTTTGATAGGTTGTGATTTATTGAGAAAATCAAAATATATTTACTTGCTGTTTGGTTTAGTTTTATATTAAGTTTTGATAGCATTATATCAGTTTGATAATTATTCCGAGTGCAATAATTAGTGGAAGCCAAACAATATCAACCTTTGTGCCATGATTGTTACGTAAAAAGCATTTAATAAAAATGTTAGTTTGTATTATTTTCTTTCATTTTTCAATGTCTTTCTGCAACCAGTGAAGCACAAAACATATAAACTGGTAAAGACACCGTTATATCTAGCAATTGAAATTTGAATATGAAAGTAGTATGCTAGAACAGGACTTGTTACTCAGTTTGTTTACTGTTATGGAAAGTGAAATTTTTGAAACATTTGTCATTATAACAATCTGATACTACTCATCTTTACAATTTTTGAAAACTTGTATCAGCGTTTTTTTAGAACATAAGCTGTTTAAGAAGATACACTGATATATCATGTGAACATCTTTTTGTCTCGCCTGTGACGAAAGTCGGGCAAAGTGAGACCATGGAAGTATTATATTGACAGGAATAACAACAACGCCAGTTCAAAGGTTTCATCTGCGTTGCCGCCTATCTTCCGACTACTCGTTAATTAGTTTACGGTCTGGAATGGTAATTGACTCTCGGCATGTTTTCGATCAAATCACTGACACTTTTTGGTCATTTTCGTGTTCACGGAAAATTACGAACATACCGGTGGTTGTCATATATACGTACAAAGTAATCCAAATAGTTCACTCGTTACATTCTGCTGCTGTACGCTGCCAAATAGAGTCATTCGTTCAATGTTGAAATAAGTCTATTTTTCCTATTTATGTCTTTTTCCATCTTGATAGTTTAAGCCGACAGTTATCACATATGAAATTGGTGAAAAAGGGTGGATCATTTTCAATTTTAGTATGGTCTCCTGTCTCCTAGGTCATGGTCCAGTCACTTTCAATTAATAAGCAATTTTTATGCCCCCACCGTAGCGGAGGGGGTATTAAGTTTTACCCTTGTCCGTCTGTACGTCCCAAAATTGGTTTCCGTTCTCTAACTTAAGTTTGCCTCAACCAAATGTTATGAAACTTATACACAATGTTTATTACCACAAAAATACAGACCAAGTTTCAATTTTGGTGGCATCACTTATGTGGTTCCATTTTTATACGACCGCAAAAAAATTTTTGTGGTCGTATATCGGTTTGACGATGGCGTCGTCGTCGTCGTTGTCGTCGTCGTCGTCCGAAGACACATTAGTTTTCGCACTCTAACTTTAGTTTAAGTGAATGGATCTCAATGAAATTTTACCATAAGGTTCAATACCACAAAAGAAAAGTGGGGATTGATTTTGGGTGTTATGTTACCCACAGTTAAGGAATTAGGGACCAAAAAGGGGCCAAAAATAAGCATTTTTGTAACTTCCAGACATAACTTGTGTGTAAGTGTATGGATCTCTCTGACATTGTACCACAAGGTTCCATATCACAAAGGGAATGCTGGGATTGATTTTGGGGGTAATTGCCTCCAAATTTTAAGAATTAGGGGCCAAAAAGGGGCAAAAAACAAGTATTTTTCTAGTTTCATGACAATAACTTGTGTGTAAGTGTATGGATCTTTATGAAATTATACTACAAGGTTCCATATCACGAAGGGAAAGCTGGAATTGAGTTTTGGGGGAAATTGCCCAAAACGTTTAGGAATAAGGGGCCAAAAATAAGCATTTTTCTAGTTTCAGGACAATAACTTGTGTGTAAGTGTATGGATCTTTATGAAATTGTACTGCAAGGTTCCATATCACAAAGGGAAAGCTGGGTTTGAGTTTGGAGGTAATTGCCCTAAACGTTTTGGAATTTGGGGCAAAAAAGGGGCCAAAAAAACAAGCATTTTTCTAGTTTCCAGACAATAACTTGTGTTCAAGTGTACGGATCTCTCTGAAATTGTACTGCAAGGTACCATACCACAAAGGGAAGGCTGGGATTGAGTTTGGAAGTGATGAATCATAAGGGGGTTCAAAAAATTGGGGGGGGGGTTCATTTTTTTTCTTTAAAATTTTCCATTTTAAATTGGTTATATCTGATTTGTATATAAAAGCAAATCATAATAATATGGTTTGAATAGGTAAATTAAAAATTTTAAGTTCTTAGACCACATTCATTATGTGTCAGAAACCTTTGCTGTGTCAAATATTTAATTACAATCCAAATTCAGTGCTGTATCAAGCTTGAATGTTGTGTCCATACTTGCCCCAACTGTTCAGGGTTCGACCTCTGCGGTCTTATCAAGCTGCGCCCCAGCGGAGCATTTTATTTAACTTAAGTTTGCCTCAACCAAATGTTATGACACTTATACACAATGCTTATTAGCACGAAAGACAGATAAAGTTAGAACTTTGGTGGCGTCACTTTTACCATTCCAGAGTTATGCCCCTTTACATATGGAAAAATTGCTGAATATTTCGTTTCCGTTCTCAAACTTTAGTTTGCCTCAACGTTATGAATCTTATATACAAAGCTTATTACCACATTACACGGATCAAGTTTGAATTATGGTGGCATCACTATAACCGTTCTAGTTACTGTTAAGTTTTCTGCTTAAGTCAGTTTGATAGGATCTGCTTGTGATAGAACAATGGTATTTTGTATGAAGTTGCATTACTATCAGTACATATCAGTTTGACGACTATTTTGAGGCCCTGCCCCCTAGGACATGGTCGAGTGACTTTAAATAAATTAGCAATTTTCAATGTTACGTTTTCTACTAAAGTTAGATTGATAGGAACTACTTACAATGGACAACGATATTTTCTATAAAGTTACATTACTGTCTGTACATCTCAATATGTCGACTATTTTCAGGCCCTGCCCACTAGATCATGGTCCAGCGACTGAATTAATAACCAATGTTGCTGTCCATCAGATTGTGATTTTTTTATGCCGACAGGCGAGACATATTCGTCTGTGTCAACAGTTTATAAACCTTTTGTCATGGATAACATGATTAACCTACTCCTAGATTTGACTGTTAACTCATGTAAAGACTTGAAAATTGGTATTTGCTGATTCTTCTCTAAACACGCTCATTTAGGATACAGGGCAAAGACTGGTTGGCTCGGAGTCAGAATAATAGTCTGGCTAGGATGACATCTCTTCATGCAGACTATTAATACCTTGTTTACTAGCACATTGAAAAGCAGCATCAGCTTGTCGATCTAGTAAACAACGGACTTCATATTCATATCGCATTATGCCATTAACATGTTTTATTCCTGATTTGCATGTTATATTTGCCACTGGACGTTTTTTAAACACTATTTCATCATCATTGCCATATATTTGAGATCTTTTACAAAGTTTAACATTTTTTCTCAATGTTTGCGATTACTGCCAAACTGTTCTGTCCCGACCCTAATGCGATGCAATAAGAGGAGGAGTAAAGGGGTAGTCAACGCCGGTTTATGTCATTGATTTTTCATATCTTACTTCTCTGGGAACTTGTCATGTTTGGGTTCATATTTATTATGGTGTATGAAAATGATATGTGAAGATGATTTTTTGGGATTCCATTTTGATTCCAACTGCAATGGTAGTGTATAAAGCATTACATACAAGCAGAACTACATAAATGACGTAACAATATAAAAAAAAGCAGACGTGATATGATTGCCAATAACAGTATAACTGTGAATAGACCAAAATACAGATCAGTGAACAATTTATAGTTTAAGTTAAAGTATGTTGTATTCACATTTGAAACAGATAGGCCATTACACTTTGGTCATACAGACTAACGAAAACAAAGAATACATACTTACGTCATAAAATCGGTTCTGTGTACACAATATTAAAGATCACTGAACTTGTTAATTATCAGAAATCTTGGTCAAATTCGTTTTTAACGATTTCAATTATATTAAATTGAAATATCTGTTTCGAAGTAGTACAAATACGTTTAGTAAAACTCATCAGATACCAGGCTAATAATTTTATACTCCAGGCGTTCGTTTCGTCTACGCCCGAATGTATTTGAAATAGTTGGAAGGCCGCAGTTAGTGCGAAGTTGAAGAGTATTTAAACCCGGAATTTCAACAAAAAATAAAACCTAAATCTGGATAAGGTCATCTTTGCTTTGGGTAGAAAATCTTTAGTGTTTTCAAAAATTTTAACATTTTATTTGATTAAGATCTTTTGTATGATGACTCTTTTTTGAAAGCGAGTATTTCTTTTAGGATGTAGGTTATGTTTTTTTGTTGAATATAACTGTCAATACTACCCTTTTATTTCGGTTCAACGATGTTTGTGGAAGTTTCATTTTTCATTTTTGTAAGTCTGATAACACATGTTATAATTCTATATCATCTTTATCAATTCTTTTGTGTTTAGCGCCTTACACTACTTGACAAACTAAGCTATGATACCAAAGGAACATTCGAACTCATAAGTCGAAAATAAGCTGATGGCGAAAAAAAAATGCCAAGAGACAAACAACAGTACACAAAACACAACATAGAAACTAAAGACTGAGCAACACGATCCCCACCAAAAAAACCGGGAGTGATCTCAGGTGCTAAATAGTTTTCTTATATCGAGTAATGCCTCGTCGGCTGTATCTCGGGTTAAAACACAGTATATGATGTTGAGTGGCTAATTTTGTCTATCCTTAAGGATGATTATTTTACTTACCTTGCAGTCACATTAATTTTATTATATACGTCTTAATATATGAGAACTTTATAACAGACGTTCTCCATCGTATAACCTATTTCATTTACTATGAATTATCTGCAGTCGTCTGTAGATTTACGAACAAAGAGATTGTCAAGGTAAATTGACAGTATTTGTCTTGTATTTATGAAGTGTTGTTTACTGTATACTTCTATTTTATTACTTGTGTGTCTTATCTAATGATTGCACGACGTCATTGGGATGTACTCTAAATTCATTTCACGGTTGTCATTGAATCTTATCTACTGATATAAACAGGTTTTAAACCAGTTTTTTAAATTATTCCAAATTTTTCAATGATCAATATATAGACTTTCTTCGGTAATGATATGATTTGCGAGCTGGCCTGTTGTCTTGTAGGATCGGTTGGGTCATACTTTAGATATTAAAAGTGGCATTTGCTGCTTGTCTACTCACTCCATACTATTTAAGGATAAAACTATCTTGGATAAATAATAAAATGTCGATGTATTTACCCCCAATGACTATTGTCATGGCGTTGTCAGTTTTTTTTTCGACTTAGGTGTTTGAATTTCCCTTTGGTATCTTTCACCTCCTTTTTGCCTACTATTTTATTGCACTTTTAAAACGATTTGTGAAATCACAAATACAAAGTCTACTATGGAATTGTTCACGTAAAACTTGACCGAAATGTGTTCATCTCTTGTAGATGAAACAAGTGTGTTTTCTATACCACTGTACAATTTAAAATTGAATTTTTGCACTCTCAATTGGTGATCTCTTCCTTTTATAAACACAAGTGAAAATGAAGGAGCTTGTAATGTTAATTTTCATCGTACCGACTATTGCAGCAGTGTTGCGTAAGGACATATTATCTCTTTCGAACATGTATCTTAATTAATCATCTCTCTTAATGAGTTTGAAAAAAAGCCCTAATATATACATGGAGAACTGTTTATTGAAATTAAATTTTTAACATGTCTCTCCTCCCCCCCCCCCCCCAAAAAAAAAAAACCCCGGCATCTAAAAAAAGATTAAAAAAAGGAAAACCGAACATTTCTTATTCCAAAAATCAAAATCTGATATAATAGGGTTGTCCATGCTAATTTTAGATATAACGATCTTTGAAAACGCGATGACAAAAAATTTCGTATGGCCAATTTCCCATTCTTGATTAGCAATTAACAACCTGTCCTGCATATGACATAATGCACGATTAGCAAAATCATATTTTATCGTTGTGATTTCACTTACAGAGGAATAGTCTAAGCAAGGTTTGTCAAGTCCCGCTCCGTTTGAGAATGCCATTCAGACTGTTTTTATTCCAATATTAGTATGTTTATTACTGACATTGGAATACTACTGTCATTTTATTACTTTTTGGATATTGATAGTTTAGAGATAAAACTAATATTTTGTTTACGTTTCATTATATTTTTAACTTTCTTCTATTTTCCAAATGTTTGTTTAAATATTAATGACATGTACATACAGACACATATATTCACGGACGTTCTAATTGAAGACTGTCTTGATTGTATTTCTTTTCGTGTTTTTTTTTCAGATTCTTGTCAATACGTGTACTATGCAACTCCTCAAAGTACGAAAGGGTAATATCGAATCTATAATAAACAACAACAAGTCTACAATGTATGGTGTGAGTTCCATCAAAACTATGGCTATGCATTTTTTTTCCAAACCTATTGCATGGACACGTGCTATCTTACGCCATATTACCACTTCCGGTGTTCAAAAAAAGATTGAAGTTGCACAATTAAATCTATATCATACGACGCCCTTGTCCTTTCAGTACAATAAAAATGATGGTTATGCTTCACCCTATCACCATGTTCAACAGGGACCATACATCTATCTGGGATTTCTTCCAACATCTAGCAGAGACATATAATACAAGAGATTCGCAACTCGGCGAAATCCCGTAATAACACGCGGCCACTAGTTAAACCTCGCGAGATCTCCTTAGGTAATAAAGTCATTAATAAAAGTATTAAAAGTACTCGAAGTAAGGATAATGTTTAAGTATAACATAAACTGTTTCAGTGTTAAATTTATCATAATTAATTAAATAATTTGAGTACATATATAATTATTTATCTTAATGTAATTTTGATTTTAGATTTGTATTATTGAAAAAGAGACATAATTTGATATTGTATTAAAAAAAACTGATATGAAATAATTAACACTTGATAAATTGTTTCAGAGTTCATTTTATTTGATAGTTACATAATGGGTTTTTATTGAATATACATCTGTCTCGGAGACATAATTTCACAGTGTGACATGTATATTAGGTTTGAATTATTCGATGGCATGGGTAAATCACGAACATGTTATAAATAATGAGTTTTAATTGACACCTTGTAAACAAGAAGTTGTTACACCACAGGTGTCCACACTCTTTCCAAAAATACAATTCACAAAATGTAAAATTAATTAATGTGGAAAAAAACTTAATTTATTTGTTAATTAATTGTTAATAATGATAGGCTTTGTTTTTTATTCTTGATAATTTAGCCTTCTAAATATTTTGATCGAGCGACGTCTAATTTTCTGTAAATTTCCCGCGTATGAATTTTTACATTATCAGAAACACTAAAGTTTTTTTTCTTCCCAACTTTCATATATAGCCTTACTAGATTTCGCACAGCTTTTTCGGAGTATTTAGTTTCCAACTTAGTTATTAATTTTGCTTTCTAAATTCAAGCCCTACTGATGAGTATTATGTAGAAGACACGCTCGTATAGAGAAGTAAATTATAAGCCTATAAATGATGAGTTTTCGTTACCACTAAGAAGATGCCACTACTGGTATGGTGGCGTATTGTCCCCGAGCGTATCACTAGGCCAGTAGTGAACGCTTCTTTGTGGGCATGAATTATCATTGATACGTCATTTTCTGTAAATTTTCCTTTTATGAAAATATGTTGAAATTTTTCCAAACACCAAGGTTTTACTACAGGATTAGATAATCTTAGGCAGATTTATTTGCCACAACCTTTTCGGAAAATCTTGTTTTCAGTGCTCTTCATCTTCCTTATTGATTTAGCCTTCTCATCTTTTTTCTTCGAGTGCCACTGGTGAGTCTTATGTAGATTTTATGCTCATCTGGCGAACACAATGTTCAGCCTTTGGTTATTTTTCACTACAAACTTAAAGGCATACAACATCAATCAATGAAAACTTTCATTTTGATCAGTGAACGATAGAAAAAAAAACCAGTTTAAATGTGAAATAAATTGAGGTGTCTTGAATGCAGAATACAATGAATATAAGAATATGTGATAGGATTATTAATGAGACAACTATCCATAAATAACCAACGTACAAGGTTGGTAACAACTACAGGTTACCATAAAATCTGCATCAATCATTCATATAATAAAATATCCACCTCTTGTTTAGTTTTTGAAAGTTAAAAACTCGTACATAGTAACAAACAAAAAAACTGCACGGATGCCGATTTCAACATTCAATATTATTATTTAATTTTTTTTAACATTAGATTTCAACATTCAACATTCAACATTCGATTTCAACATTTAACATTCGTTTTTCAAAATTCAACATTAAATTTTCAACATTCAACATTTAACTTTCTTTTTTTAACATTCAACATTCGATTAAAATATTCAGCAAGCGTTTTTCAAAATTCAACGTTCGTTTTTAACATTCAACTTAAAAAAAATCATTTTTCAACATTCGATTTCAACATTCAACATTCGATTTCAATATTCAACATTCGTTATGCAACATTCAGCATTCGATTTCAATATACAACAAACTTTCTTTTTTCAACATTTTCAACTTTTAATATTTGACATTCGTTTTTCAGTATTCGACATTCGTTTTCAACATTCAACATTAGATTTCAACATTCAACATTCAAAATTAAAACAAAAAGATATTTTCATTTTTTTTCAACATTCGATTTCAACATTCAAAATTCATATTAAACATTCGTTTTTATAAAGGGACATGACTAGAGAACTGTTCAAGTGACGCCACCCAAATTCGAATTTGATCTGTGTTTTATAGTAATAAGCACCGTGTATAAGTTTTGGTTGAAGCAAACCAAAGTTAGAGAAGAACAAGTGTAACTCCCTTCGCCGAGGCGGGGGCATAGAAATTACTGCAGAGTGATCTGGTTTGTATAATTAGGACAACAGTAAATTACTAATGTCCAAGTCTTATGAATCAATTAAGAAGACAAATTAAGGTCACAAACACAAACCTAATTATCATACCCTTAAATTTGGAACGATTGTGTAAGAGACTTTTTGAAACATTTTATACACGACCTAGCTACACCAAATTTGGATGATCCTTTTACATAAAATCAAACACAAATTATGATTAAAGATATGTTAATTTATTAAAAACTGAATCAATTAGAACGACTAATTTTATAGGAACAATTTTTTTTCGTCACGTAGAACAAAAAAATCATCATAGATACCAGGATTACAATTCTGTACGCCAGACGTCTACAAAAGACTCATCAGTGACGCTCGAATCATATTATGATATCCATGTCTAAATAAATGAATAAGTTAACTGCGTTAAGATATTGATCAAAAATTTTTTTTTACAAACACATGTCTGCCATCTTGCTCCAGTTTCTTATTAAGCATGGCACTGTTTTAATTGTTGATGTATATGTTTTTATTGTTAGAGAAAAGCTCTAAATACCTTGTGTTTTTCATGTTTGTACGAATACTTCACTTTTAATAAAATTTATCTGATCTTATTAACAGTTTCTATTCATTTACTATAGGTACATTGGAGTCCATATTTGTACATTATTGACTAATAATAGGAAATTGCGTATCTTTTAAATATAAGGAAATAATGTTCTTAAATGTTAAGATATAAAATTATTTCCGTAAAGATCTCACCATAAACTTGGATCTTTACAATAAATGTAGGGTATAATTTTTTTCCCCGAAATAATACGTTCCATATGAGTTCAAATATTTACTAAATAAGAAAAGCACTGTAGTCACCTATATATTTACGAAACAAGGTATTGTCACGGATAATCTTAGGATAGAGTAGGAGATATCGTGTATTTACGAGTTATTGGTCATTCTGTTCATTGATTATTTGTGTGTCTTATCAAATGGTGTCAATTTCGTCAATATGAAAGTGGTCATGTACTTCTATTTCATTTCACTTAAGTCATTGGATCTTGTCTGCTGCTGTAAACAGGTTTGTAAGAGTTGTTAAAATAATTACAAACTAACTGTAATGATCAATATAGACATTCCTCGGTTATGCGACATTTGTGCTTGCTTCTTGTCTCTAATTTCGTTTACTTAACCGGTTGGCTCATACTTTATTATTTAAAGTGGTATTTTCTGCTTGTCAAATCAATCAATTATTTTTAGGAGTAATATATTCTTGGCAAGATAATATAAGCTCGATGTATGTCCCAATGGCTACTGTCACATGCTGCATATCATTTCGTTGCCCAATAACTTGCATATCATTTCGGTGATCAATAAAACGTGACCGAAATGTTTTTATCTGTTGTAGCAAAAAATTTACAAACTAGTGAACATTTTATTTAAAGAGAGAGACATAGAGAATTTGCAATTTTAAAGCATATTATATTTAAACTAAATGATGTGCATAATTCTCACTTTTCGTTAGGATTAAAAGGGCTATTTAAGAACTGTTAAGTGTCTAAAAATAAACGCCACCCTATATATTGGTCTCGAGCGTGCCTAAAAACGGTTAACCAAGAAACACGTAAAAACACGGAAATCATAACATACAGATTTTTAAAACTGGGTCGGTACCGGTGATGGTAGCCAATTAGTCCAAGAGGGTACCATCCAGTAGCCAGTTGACAAAATACAAATGGTAATTTTACTATCAATTTACCGTAATAATACAGTCTTCATTCAGTCTTAAAATGTGTCAAGTTTTATATCTTTCGAATAAAAGTTGTAGATATATTTGACAGAGACAATCAAAGATGAAATCAAGACTAAATTCCCTGATAGAAAAAAAAACATTAGGAGATTTTTGTATTTGCTTTTTTGTTTTCTATTATATACAGGTTATTAAGTTAATTGATTTTTCCGAATTATTCTTATCGTTCGTTCTTAAACTTACCTTGATTGAAGTAAAAAGGGCAAGGATTGAATTCTTAAAAAGATAAACAAATGTTGACTGATGGATCACAATCATTGTCAAGTTAACTAATTATGTAAGTATGGGATGCTCACACTATTTTTTTTCACAATAGCAAAACTATAGTAAACTGCAATACAAGTTGGATATTAAGTTTGCTGTAAAACCAGGTTTAACGTACCATTTTCATCGGAAAATGTCTCTACCAAGTCAGGAATACGAGTTGTTTTCCAGTCGTTCCGTTGGAATGTGGTATAGTCGAGCGTTTTGTTTTGTCAGTTTTAATGGTTTTTTGCCTTTCTGAATTTACCTGGGACTTCGGTATTTTTGTTATTAATTTCTTTTTAATAAGAAGTAAAAAATAAGTCAAATCTCAGTTAATATTCTCGTCAGTGGTTATCTTAAATGACATGCATATTAATTAATGTTTTACTTTTACTTTTTTCCGCATTTTGGTGTCGATTGTATATACTCCCATGCTACTTTAAAACGTGGTATATAATATGTGTTACAAGCAATACAGACAGAATTATAGAGTTCACATACATATATAAGGTTTGACTATCTAAATTACTTAGAGATAAGTTTCACAATCATGAAATCATAATGATATAAAATAATATCAATATTGTATGAAAATAATGGAGAGATAATTGCTAGACAGTTTCCATGCATTAAGTCTTCAGTGAAGCGGCCTGCCCATAGATCTCTAGTTACATAAATATCTCTTATACATATATGAATTGGTTATTTTGAAGAAGACGTGAACATTATATAATGCTATATTGTACATAACTAAACATATGATACTGATTTCTGTTACCACATTATGAGTTTATAAAAGAAAATAAACTTCAACGGTACGCTGCAGACTGGAAACATAAAAGGCACACACACAAAAACTAAACCCGTCTATGGTCAACTTTGTCTGACGGAGTCGCAATTGTAAAACATTTTATAACTTACTTTTTAAACAATCAATTTGAAAATATCTTTTCCCCATAACATTAATAAACTTATTATTACCCAAACAGGTTAGAATCTTGTACGTTTGATGTCCTATTTTCGACCCAATAAAGACATTCATACTAATAGTTCCTAAAAAATGTAAACACAGATCTTAATGATGTTTAGCTCACCTGACCCAAAGGGTCAAGTGAGTTTTTCTCATCACTTGGCGTCCGTCGTCCATCGTCCGTCGTCGTCGTCCGTTAACTTTTACAAAAATCTTCTCCTCTGAAACTACTGGACTAAATTTAACCAAACTTGGCCACAATCATCATTGGGTATCTAGTTTTTAAAATGTGTCCGGTGACCCCGCCTTCCAACCAAGATGACCGACATGGCTAAATATAGAACATAGGGGTAAAATGCAAGTTTTTGTCTATTATTTTGAAAACCGTTATAAATAAAGAAAATCTGACATGAGCAAGAATGTTCAGAATGTTGAGCTCTACCTATTGTCTTTATACGTCAAAACTGTCAGACGACTTCTTTTAGGAGTAATTGCCCTTAAGGTAGCTGGGGTGTCTTCCTCCATCTTGGATTTTGCAATAGCAGATAACAATCGGTCTAGATCTTTAATGAAATTTACAAATTTCGAGAGTAGTGTGTAATTCATGTGTAAGACTTTTCATGTTTATAAAGAAAATTATGTGTTTAATCATATTTACGGCTCTATTTCACAAAAACAGAATATTTTTGTTTGATTAATTTTTTTTTCAACTTTGCCGCGTAAGGGGATATAACTCAGATATAAGGGGGGATATTACTCAGATATAAGTGGGGATAACTCAGATAAAGTAACTTTTATAATAGAATGTGTTGTGAATTTACGATTTTATTATGTAGCAAGAAAACAAGTCCAGTGACATCATTTTTCTCTTTTTCTTATCTGAAAGCATATTATTAGAGTTATTTTCTCATATTTTATCTTAAAATTCTAGAGGGGGTGGACAGGGGGTACCCTCATCCCACTTCCCGCCCCCTATCTCCCACCTCCCACTTTTAGAATCTTTTTTGTCTCCCACCTATTTTTTGTCTTCCACCTCCCGCCCCCCCCCCCCCCCCCCCCCCCACCTCCCTCAAAAGCTGTCCACCCCCTCATTCTATGGTAAAGTTTTCTTTTTATCACACAATATTGGGTTTTCCATGCATAATCTATACAAAATCTGACAAAATTGCACAACCTCTAGCGTGAAAAAAAAGCCCGGTGACCCATACTTTTTAGTTAACCTGGCCTAAAAGGCCAAGAGAGCTATTCTCATCACTTGGCGTCCGTCGTCGTTAACTTTTACAAAAATCTTCTCCTCTGAAACTACTAGACCAAATTTAACCAAACCTGGCCACAATCATCATTAGGGTATTTAGTTTTAAAAATGTGTCCGTTGACACGGCCCGCCAACCAAGATGGCCGCCATGGCTAAAAATAGAACATAGTAGTAAAATGCAGATTTTGGCTTATATCTCTGAAACCAAAGCATTTAGAGCAAATCTGACGGATTAAAATTGTTTATCAGGTCAAGTTCTATCTGCCCTGAAATTTTCAGAGGCTTTAAAGAGCCTGTGTCGCTCACCTTGGTCTATGTGTATATCAAACAAAGGACACTCTCCAACATTGTAGACGAGAACAGACTTCATGACAAAAATCTCTATTTTGTTGATCTTGACAGAGCTCCAGATAAGCTGCGTATTTGCGTGATCACGCAATACAAATAATTAAAAACCCAATGCAATTGCCCATTGCAGGGTTCAATTACCCAATTAATTCAAAGGAAAACCCTATTATATGCCAAAACCATGAGTTCTTAACGCTTTTATTCGCTATCGTTTGCGTTATTTACCCTTATCTGATTACAGTCGTCGCGTAAATCTATTTTTATAATATTTATAATTGGAAATGTCCTTTCGTTCTTAAAATAGAGCCCTGCATCAAGTAGCTGTAATGGGTTCCTGTTAGAATTTTCCGTTGCTCAAAAGGTACACGTGTTTATGAAAACATTTCGATCTTCTCGGCGTTTATCCAATTAGCGTGTGACATGCTGTCATATTTTTTAGAATTGCTCGGGATTTATCATAACATACAATGAATTAAAACGAAAGTAAATGTCCGATAAAAATATTGAATAGAAGCATGTTTTCGGCTTCTTTTTGATAGCTGAGGGAAAGTTATGATGATAACAAGACTCAGCTAGTGATTTTTGGAAGGTCCATTGAACGCACGGGCGTGTTTGAAGGTACGAGGGGGGGGGGGGGGGGGGGTCTACGAGAACATTGCTATAGAACGATAAACACGGGGTTTCGTCAAAAACGAAATCAGTTGGAAAAAGTGAAAGGCCAAATCAATTATGGCATGATATGTAGTTGGAAAGCATCGGAAACCAAAAGTTCTGGTAAGGGACAACTTAACCTAGATTTATGTAAATTGAATTAAACAAAAACAGTTTATATATTATTTTTTTTCATTTAAGTTGATGAATGAATACACATATCCGTTTTTTACGTCAAATTATGCAGCTTGACACTTTCTTTGTTTTGGTCTAATTGTTCTGGATGCTTTTAAAAGATAGTTGTCTTATTGGCAAGTGCAGTATAACATTGTCATTTATTTACTTGATGTTGCAGAATTATTTGTAAATTTAAGTTGAATGTGGTCTCCATCATTAAACCACCCTATAAATCTCAAGGTTTTGGGGTATATCTTAAATCTGGGAACTACTTTTTATTTTTATTAAAAAGTAGATCTGGCAAATAGGTGAAAGGACTGGCAAAACTTTCTTACAGCACCTAAATTTCACATATATTACATAAAAATCTAAACACTTAGCCACACTTATCCCAACTATAAACTGTACGGTGATCATATGGGATCTAGAAAGGCAATTAGTTGCTGTCCAACTAGTGACACCAGCTGCAGTTTACATAAGTTTTGAGAAAATACAAAACTGACAGAACGTTTAAAACGGGACACAAATTAAACGTACAATTGCTCGTCAGTGAATAAACCAAATAAAACAGCTAAGCACATATACAAAGAAAGAAACACATTTAAGATGGAAACACATCTGGGGTTGATATAATGTGATTATAACATGCCTAAATATTCAATATTGTGTTGATGAAAAAACCCAATACATTAAGGAGCTTGGTGGTGAAAAACCCAATTTGATATTTGCTTGAGGTGTGAATTGGAATTGATAATGCAATTAAAAAACTTTATCACCCAATTACATAAAAAAAATGGTGGGTAAAAACCCCAATTTGTGAATTCTTATCTGGAGCTCTGCAGTCAGTCTTGTATTATTGATCTTTTAGTCTGTTAAGTTTCTCTCTATCTTCTTTAGTTTTTGCTCAAAACACAAAAGAGAGTAAAACAAATCATCATTTAAGGGCAATCACTCCTATGAAGAGTGACAGTCTACTAACTATAACGGCAAATTTTGACTTTTTAATAGATCTTGCCTTGCTGATCATTTTTGTGATTTGAAGTGTTTATATATCTATTATAATTTAAATCATATAAAAATATCATAGTTTTCATGATAATAGGCAAAAATGAAAAAAATGGTAAAATTTGTCATATATGGGCAATAACTCCTATAAGAATTTGTCTAACAGTTTTGACGTATATAGACAATTGGTAGAGCTCATTATTCTGAACATTTTTGCTCCTTTCAGATTTTCTCTATTTATAACGTTTCAAAAAATAATAGACAAAACTTGCATTTTACCCTATGTTCTATTTTTAGCCATGTCGGCCAATTTGGTTGGTAGGCGGGGTCATAGGACACATTTTAAAACTAGATACTCTAATGATGATTGTGGCCAATTTTGGTTAAATTTGTCTCAGTAGTTTTAGAGGAGAAGAATTTTGTAATAGATTACAAAAATTTACAAAAAAATTGTTAAAAATTGACTATAAAGGGCAATAACTCCTTAAGGGGTCAATTGACCATTTTGGTCATGTTGCCTTATTTGTAGATCTTACTTTGCTGAACATTATTGCTGTTTACAGTTTATCTCTATCTATAATAATATTAAAGATAATAACCAAAAACGGCAAAATTTACTTAAAATTACCAATTCAAAGGCAGCAATCCAGCTACGGGTTGTCTGGTTTGTCTGAAAATTTCAGGGCTAAAAGATCTTAACCTGAAGAACATTATAAGGCAAAATAAAATAGTCAAATTTGTCGATAAAGTAAGTAGACTGTCACTCTTTATAGAAGTGATTGCCCTTAAATGAGGATTTTATTTACCCTCTTTTGTGTTTTGAGCACAAACTAAAGAAGAAAGAGAGAAACTAAACAGACTAAATGATGAGCAATACAAGATCAACAAAACAGAGATTTTTGTCATGAATTCTATTCTCGTCTACAATGTTGGGGAGTGTCCTTTGTTGAATATGCACATAGACCAAGGTGAGCGACACAGGCTCTTAAGAGCCACTGGTTCTTTGTGTTAACACTTCTTTGGCGACTGCCATATGTGAAGCAAGATCTACGTAACCCTCTGGAGAACCCGATTTTTTGGTAGGTCTCGTGTTGCTAAGTCTTCAGTTTTCTGTGTAGTGTTGTTGTGGAATGTTTGTCGTTTGTTTTTTAAATGGTTTTGTATTTTTTCTCTAACATATGGTTTTTTGGTTGTCACCTTGGTTTTTTTCGTCTTTTTCTTAACGTCCAACTCGAGTCTCTAGACAAGAACAAACAAAGGGGACATTACCAACCCAGTAGTCAACAACACTTCTGTGTTGACATGAATTGTCATTGATATGGACCATAATTTTAAATTATAAAAATTTACAAGACTTGTTTTTATTAAATACTGAAGATTTTCTACCCCAGGAATAGATTACCTTATCTGTATTTGGCACAACCTTTCGAAATTTGGGGTTTTAAACACTCTTCAATTTCGTACTTTATTTGGCCTTTTAACTTTTTGATTCGAGCGTCACTGGTTAGTCTTTTGTAGACGAAACGCGGGTCTGGCGGACGCAATTTTAAGGCTAGTATCTACGATAAGTTTATTTGTTGATTAACCTTATTCTAACTTATGTAAATGCTGATCATATAAGAACATACGTTAAATTTCATTTCGCCTGTAAGGAATATTATCAATAAAGAAAAAACCAAAAGAAGTAATGAGTTTTCTAATTTTAAAGAACATTTGCAATCCCAATATCCAATCTTTTCCTTTTACAGATATAACTCAAAATGATGGTGCTTGGAGTGTTGATTTTCATCGTACCGACTGTTGCTGCAGTGTTGAGTAAGCACGTCATATCTCTTTTGTATCTAAAGAAAAGTATCCATCTATATGAGATTATGTAGACTGCAGTAAAAAAAAAAACAAATTCGTTGTTTCCATCTATACAGTACCTTTTTAGAAAAACCACAATTAAGATCATGCACAAGAAATAACGTGTTGCTAGTTAAAAGAATGTTTGTTAGTTGTTTTATTATATTTACCAATATAGGATAACATGGATTATCAAATTACTGGAAAGTAAAACAGATCACAGCAACTACCAACGACTCCTTCGAAGTAATAACCGACATTCTACAATCTTCCGATACCTATATTTTGGACTTGCGCAAGGTCATGTTTTTCTCTGACAGTTAATGTAGTCTTTGCACTAAACCCATTGGATGCTGGATGTGCACTGGTTGATATTTTAGTCTTATATACATATTTTTTATTAGTTGTTGTTGGCTTTGAACTAGCTGTCAATAACGGTTTCCCCCAGATCTTTGGCTATTTCTGTTGTGAGGGATGTATAAATACCCTGCCACGTCTCCGGTCTGTGTTTTTGCTTGATTTTTTTTTCTGTTATATATCGATCTGATGATTTAAACCATTTTCTACTGATTTTTATAGTTTGTTCTTATGTTGTGCCGTTACACCAATTAGGGGGAGGGCTGGCACCTTCAAGCATGTTTAACCCCGTCACATTCTGTATGTGCCTGTCTCAAGTCAGGAGACTGTAGTTCAGTGGTTCATGTCTGTCATATTTGTTTTTCGTAAATTGTTTTGTCATAAATTAGGCCGTTAGTTTTCTCGATTGAATTGTTTCATATTTCGGGGCCTTTTATAGCCGACTATACGGTATGGATTTTCTCATTGTTGAAGGCCGTATGGTTGTCTATACGACTTCATTTGAACTTTGGTGGATAGTTGTCTCATTGGTAATCATACCACATCTCCTTATTTTTATATACAAACAAAGAAAGACAACAACAAACAGCACATTCATAAAACCTTCAAAATACAAGCCCAACGTACAATTAGAATAAAATGAAACGAATTAACCACCTCGCTCGGTATTGATAATCTAGAGTATGAACTAGTAAATATGTTTACTTATTATATTAACTTAGAAGTGATTATCGATTGAATTAAATTTCTTGATATGTTTTCTAATCATCGTTGTTTTAATATTTGTTATGCTTCACATATTTTCAAATATTTTTGAAATACACTGTCACTAACATTCACATATTTTGTCATTCTAAGTACTTGATTGTAATTCATTTAGTAATTTTTAGATTCTTGTCAAGATGTGTACTATACAAATCCTCAAAGTACGACAGGGTCATACCGAATCTATAATAAACAACAACAAGTCTACAATGTATGGTGTGAGTTCAATACAAACTATGGCTATGCGTTTGTTTCAAATCTATCCCATGTAGATATTAATATAGATGATTTGTATACAGACAGAACACGTGCTATCGTACGCCATATCACCGCTTCCGGTGTCCAAAAAGAGATTGAAGTTGCACAATTAAATCGATATCATACGACGCCCTTGTCCTTCCAGTACAACAAACATAATGGATACGCTGAACCCCAGAATCATGATAAACTTGGGCCATATATCTATTTCGGATTTCTTCCAATGTCTACCGCAGGTCACAGAAACGTTCAAGGATATCGTGCTGGTGGCGCCGACTACACTTTCACCAACTGTGACAGCAATCCTAACAGTTATTTAGCCTTGTTTTTTAACCGTAACAATTCCGATCCTGTAGGTTATTTCCAAAAATGTTGTCCTTCAACACTAATAACAGCATGGACAACACATTCACAACCTCTTCAGAAAAACAGATACATGGACCCTCCTTTCTATTTCATATTTGAAATGCATATGGGTGGTTGCGGTGGCTACGAAATTTCACTGCATCAAGATCTACGTGGCGTCATTGGTGCTGCTATCGGTTTCAGATTTGGTAAGTTGCTTTAATTCGAGCCATTTTTGATGCGGCTGGTTTGTATATATGTTATAATTATTTAGGAATAATTTTTAGTGCAAAGGATGTTCTTAAACCCTGCTGACTGCCATTTGCGATTGCCAAATAAACGGATCACCAGATGTAACAAAATGTCTCTTAACTTTTAATTTAATTCCAAACGGAAAACAATGTTTTAAAGGTTGTACGACCTGCTAGTCAGATGCGTTTTGTTAAAATATACTTTTTCACTTTTTTGATCTTTTGGAAAATGTAATTTGTGCTGTATTTAGACCCCTCTACCAAGAAATTTGTTTTGCATACACACGTATAATAATTGCGGTTTTTATCCAACGCAATCATAGGTTGGAACGTTGTTTTCAATTTAGACTTGTATATATATATTTATATATGTGTGTAGTTCATTTATGTTCAAACTGTTTTTTCTTTGTATGCATACTAGACTATTGTTGTTTGTTATTGTCTTATTAATGTCTTATATTGTATTATGCTCCTTGTGAGACCATTTAATTGAAATAAAACATCTTCTTCTTCTTCTACATGAAAATGTTCTCTGATTCATGTTAAGGATAAATCACGAAAATCCTGTTTGAGATATACATGTTACAGTAGTAGATTGGTCTAAATACATGGGATTTGATATTAAATTTGTCTCAATTTTTGACGTTCTGTGCGTATTTTAACCTGGACAACACCCGATTGACCATCAACATGACCTATGAGGATTTTCGATAGACATGTGACCTTGATAGAAAGAAAAAAATAAATGGACATATTAGTACGTGCAACATTATAATGCCAATTTTCCTAGTTCTATTTGATTTAAAAGATGTGCAAATCATTGTTTTATCTATATAAGAATTATTTGTTTGCGGGAAGATTCAGTCAATGAAATAGGAGTTCCTCCTGTCATCTTTACATCTGACGTTCTTTTCAATAACTGAATATGTGAAGCACAGAGGCAATCCATCGACAACTGAGGTCACACCATAGGCGTCATGCATACGTCTATAACGAAGTTAAGAGGATAGTTTTCTCGCTTAATTACTAAATTTTGAAGTATAATGAAAATTACACTGCAATAAGACAAAAATAAAGATTTGTTACTACATCAGTAAGAATGTGTTGATTGAATAATCTTGAGAAAAAAAGAATGCATGAGGTTAAATCCAAATTATGGTATTATGTCAAATGCAAGGATTTAGGGAATGTTCGCTATTACAGCCCATGCTAGGAGGCGTCCAATAGGGAATGCGGGATGTACATGTACAAATACACAACCACATATGGCCACAACGAGGAATTTAAAATCTGATGACACGTGTTCGGAAAATGTCATGTTAATTGCACATTGAAGAATCATAGAAATAACTCTTTGAGGGGTTCACAGATGGCCTATTGCAAGGCAAAATTCCATCCTGTCCAACATAACCTCTTGTATCAGTCTAAGTTCCCCACCCTTTTTCCGGGTTCATCAATTTTGCAGAACCTATATAACTATTGTATTATACTAGTACATTCGTTCTCGTCCAATGAGCTAAAGATCATAACATTAAGCCTACACAATTAAGGCAGACGGGCTAACATCGACAGCCATGCAATATGATTGGACAGGAAGTTAAATAATGGGGCGGGGTTGACGGTGTCTGTAAGTGCTCAACCCTACTCATAGAAATTGATGTCTGACTGCAGTTATATTGTGACATTTCTTAGACTCGCACATTAAACATAACAAAATCATAAAAAATATCAATGCATTCAGAATATATTTACAAGAGAGTGTCTGTGCTTTCTAGATATCAAAGACCCATGTGCTAAAAACCCATGTCAGCACGGAGGTACTTGTTATCCTGACGGCCGGGTGTATACATGCGAGTGTCCCGTAGGAATTTCTGGTGTTCTTTGTGAGACAGGTTAGTAAAACAATTCTAGAATATATTTATGTACTAAAATAAGAAAACCCCCAACAATTAACTAGAATATATTTATATGTACTAAAATAAGAACCCCCCTCCCCAACAGCAATTAACTTATGCAATATAACAAGATATAGGATCTTCGAGAATAAAGGATTGGGCCATATGAACCCCAATAGGAACTTAAAATTATATATGGTGCTTTTGGCGGGTATGTATAATGATCTCTGCATGCTTCACTCCTTGTATTGTAATGTATGACCATTCTAATGCCAATTCCAACTGTGAGAACGGTAAGCTTCTGGCGTACACATAATAAACTCTTGTAATTTTTTCGGATTAAATTATGTATCTCGTATAGATAAGAGGACATGTTGGGTAAAAGACAAAGAGACGGCAACCAACGACACAAATGATCTAAAGAAATATACACGTATATAAAGCAATTTTAGACAAGTGTCTATACATAATGTCAAGATCTAAATCCACCAAAGATATTAAGGGGACAATCAAATACCATACGTCGTTACAAAACAGACAACACCATGGCCAAAGAAAAACGACGAAAAGAATAAAAAAAACATTGTACAAAACAGATAACACCATGCCAAAGAAATACGACGAAAAGAATAAAAAAAAACAGTCTACAAAGCTTGAGCCTAGCCTACAAAGGACTTAGAAAACAAAACATTAAGCAACACAAACCACATCAAAGTTAAAACGTCATGAATATAACAGGCGATTACAGCTATAAGGGCGTAACGAGTGGAAAGCCGATGTGTAAAAGGATTTATATAATCAAAAAGAACTTTAAGAGAGACATGTGTAAAATTTTTATGATTTGTTAAAAAAATATATTCAAACTGGAGAAATATATCTTGGCCTTCTGCGCAGATAGGAACTATACACCTACCATCTCACAACTCACCCAAAACTAGATATTATCAAAATTGTTAATTTGTGTATGGTTTAGTATTACATATAAATACAAATAATCTTTTTTGCAGTTGGGTCATTTGTTGGATGAGTAGAAGACGTTTATTTTTGAAGGACGAAGTTCAGATAGTTTTTGATAATCAATAAACTGAGTAACTTGAAAAAAATATGATATTGATTTGAGAATAAAATAAGATATTAACCACTTCTATACGTTTTGAGTGTTTTATACTCGGGTTTGTTAACAAATTAAAAAAAAAAATCATCAGAAACTTGAAAACTGTATAAGTAGTACATTTTGATCCCATACGTCGATGACTTGAAAAAGTGTTAAAATATATATAAAAAAGGAATTGTGTCAATGAGACACCTATCAATGTATACCAAAGTACAAGTTTTATATGCGAATGATTCGTAAATAACACCGAACAGGTTTACCAAACATTTTTTTGACGGTGAATTGTGTGCCACTTTTTGCAGATAAACTTCTGGTTTCGTGTGAATTATAATTTATCTGTAGGCTATGATGGAATAGCCCAAATTAATCAGTCCCTATTTGTATTTCAGCATATGCTTTGAATAATATTCTGGTTATATGTGGCTCTATCTTAGCTTTCCCCTGTGATCGCTCTATAAATAAACGCACAGCTAATACTTTCTCTAGTTTATTGCATATGCTAGTTAACTTTATATTACATCAAACATGACAATTTCGGTTTTGGCTTTCCCAAATATTCGATATTTCAACAGTTATAACATTCATGTAATCTTGAAACCAATCGAATTAGAAACCAAATATCTAAAACGTTTAAGCCTCTAGGAGCTATTTAAATGCGGTTTGATAATGTCGAGCATTACAGTAATCCAAACTTATACCCATTCTTACTGACATACATGTACCTAGTAGTTTCTCCTATCAATGAGGGTCATAATGGGGGTACCTTCATGACGAATAACGGTAAAAATTCTTGCCAAATGACGTTAACGTTAATTTTTTGGTGCATGACGATAAAATGTACACTCTCTTTTAGACGATAAAAAAATCGATTGATTTTGACGAATCACGCTAATTTTTTTCCAAAATTAACGGTAACGATAATTATTTTTGATTAAATAAACTAAGACCCGTTCACACTAGGACATTTATATCGATTTAAATTAGATCGGTTCACTTTAGATCGGTTTAAGGGCTAATGTGAACGCTTTGAATCGATCTTCAATCGGTCTAAACTAAAACACCAAAAGAGGTAGTTTAGTTTGAATCGATCTAAAGTGAACCGATCTAACTTTAAATGTGAACGCAAAGATCGGTTTAAACTAGTACGATTGAATCGAAAATAATCTATGCGCATGTATAGCGACAAAACTACAAGTGTAATAACATAACACCCCTGTATATATCGGTGGTTCGTTGTTTAACCAATATTTCTCTGTTTAAAAACAGACCTTTGTGTAAATGCAAGTAAAAACAAACGGAAAAAAGTTGTCTTCGCCGTACCATAAATTTGTGTGTCTTCTTTTCTTCTGTTGTTTTTGTTGGGTTTTTTTTCCGAACCGCAGCATTTCTTCCTTGCTACAGTTTTTTGTTTCGAAATTAATGAGAACTACAAGAACACCAGTATCAAAATTTGAACTTGTGATTCAAGAGAAACAATAACTTCATTAATTTTTTTAAGAGTGTGTTTCAGTGTACCAACACATAAATTTGATTAATTTTTTCTATTTATACACAATGTTTACAGTTTTACGGGTAATGAGGTCAGATCGATTTCATTTTTAATTGTAGTGTGAACGCAGTGGTTCAGATTAGACCGATAGAGATCGTTATGATTAAAGATAATGTGAACGCTATCTGGTTTTATTTAGATCGATTCAAATTAGATCGATAAAAAAATGCTAGTGTGAACGGGGTCTAAATCTTTATCGTGTGTTCGAGTCTACAAAAGCACTTCAACATGTACAATAAAATAGTTCATCGACAATCATGCTGTAATTCTATTTTTCTGCTGTCATATTTAGTAATATTATCAAGAAAGAATGCCCGGGTCCTCCACCAATTTATCAAGAAAGAATTTGACACGTTTCCAGATAAAAATGCCGGAATGGCTTTGAGTGGGATCCCGTGTGTGGGATGGTGTTGAAGATGGGGAAACTAGCTTTTGTATCTGTTGTCAGATGTTGTTGTTCTACAAGATACGAGCGTGTTACATCAGGTTAGATGTTTCGGTACCAATATATGAGATATTGGGTTTTGGTTAATGGATTGTAATCTAGATCACACTCATTCACATCTAAGTTGGCAGTCCAATCCAATAAACGTAAACAAATTGGTAAAGTCCAAATTAGTTTAATACAGTCCAAATATAAAATAACAGTGTTATACAAATCAGAAATTTTAAAACAAAAACAGTATATCTGATTACGTTGGATAATCCGAACGCAGTTCATGTGCTCTCGTTGGCATATCCAAACGGAGTCCATGTGCTCTCGTTGACATATCCAAACGGAGTCCTTTGATTAAAAATTATCTTTCTTTAAATACCAAATATCGTTGCTAACAACAAAGTTTGTAATGGTCATATTGTCGACAGAAATTAGATAACAGATTGATTCCGTTTATCAAAGAGAATTATTTACACGCTTGTGTATTGAACTAAACATAATTGATCAAATAGAAATATTGAAAAACCGTAAGATTTAAGTTCAATCTTGACCATAAGTATTGACAAATATAAATTTATAATCTAACATGTTTCAGGTGTAAACAAATATTTCGGACATTTAAATTCATTATGAAATTCGAAATCATTGCTATTGAATAAATTAAATATGCCTGGTGCATACGAAATGTACACGTTAATAAGCTTTAATAGAAATCAACATATTTAGATAGTTTTGAATATAAAATTTAGTACAAAAATAGTGTGTGACAATATGAACTTACCTTCGTTTAACTCACAGACTGTATCAAAAATCCCGAAATTAACCAGTACATATTGATAACATACATATATATCTAAAATTATTGACCCTGACGAAGGCTATTTGTTCAGCCGAAATATTTTTCAACACGATTTTAATACATCGTCTTCGTATATTACCATCTAATATTAGTACCGTTGAGCAAATCTTTAAACTTTTATAACGTTTTCCTTATCTGCGCAGTCTCGTCTATTCTAGATGATCTGGTGCATATTAGATTTGCTGGTTGGTCCTTTTTATAGATTTATATATATATATATATATATATATATATCTAAAAGGGTACAACATCACCAAAAAATAACAATAAAATGAACAAATGTAACTATAAATATTTCGGATAACAGGTATCCTTCATCAGTATGATCATGATGTAAAATGAATCTTATCAACCTTTTCTGATTATAAAACTATAGCAATCTTGAATTCTATAAAAAAAAAAAACAGTTTTACCAGAACATCATAGAGACGCTAGTACAATTCTAAAGTTTCCAAACACGGCGCAACGACATACCTAAAATAAAAATATTTTGTAGTGTACTGTATCATAATTATATGATCCATCGCCCCGTAAGATTTATCGTTGGCTATTAATCAGTCATTTTATATATATATATATATGTAGGACTCAAATCTATGGTGGGTTCCAGATCTATGGCAAATTTCTGCAAATTCCTAATCTATGGTAAATATGATGTCACAAACGCCAAATCACAAATCTATGGCAGTATTTTGTTTTCTCCAAATCTATGGCAGATTTGGATACTACGCAATTTTCCGTCACAATTTTAAAATAACGTCATGTAACGTCGAAGCTGCCGCTGACGACGACGGTTTTGTTATACAAAAGGAAAAGAAAAAGATCAAGTTTGCAAGTATCCAAATTAATAAATAAATTATAATTCAGAATTGTGTTTGTTTCTACCTTTTTTTCTTCTTCTCGTGTTGCTGGTGTTGGCATCACCCTTAATTGTACGAGCTTTTTTACCGTGCATTTTGGTTTGTTGTTTTGTGTTTTTATGCTATTTTTTGTATTCCTATGATCTCTTTAATTTTCTGTAGGAAGTAACACAACATAAAATATTTTGTCAGCTATATAACAGTAACTAACTGTACTATTGAAGCAAATAATCTTTCTTGAGATTTGGAAAAAATAAATATGACATAGATTTCTAGTAGATATTTTATATCTATAAATATGTCGAATAACTGTACTGTTGAAGAATTAAGGATTTTTTTTTAGAGAGTCACGTGTTTGAGGCGAGTCATTGTTCATTAAAGGACTTAAATCGTCATCAGTCCAACAAGATTTATATTATTCAACGCTCAAATAGATATTAGCTAAAAATTCAAACTGTTTGTGTGTTGTTAAGGGACTTGGTTTAATAAAGGGTCAAACAGGTACTATGCACAGAGTAGGAAATAATTATTCTTCCGGGGCACATGATTTCAACCCTAAAGTCTGTGTTCATTTTACAAACGGTTATGGATAGGCTTCCTAGTAATAGTCCTATTTTTCTTATACTGGTTTTTACTTAAAAGCAGCTCTTTTGCAACCTTTGGACATTTCGACCTTTAAATCATTGGTCAGATATGTACTGACTGGTCCGACCTTTGCAGAAAATAAGTCATAGATTTGAAATCTAGAAATCCGCCATAGATTAGGAAACTAAAAAAATTGCCATAGATTAGGGAACTAAAAAGTTGCCATAGATTAGGATTCTTAAAAAACTGCCATAGATTTGGGATGGCATTATAAGTTATCTACGTTCATATCCATATCTACGGATATGAACGTAGATAACGAATTTATCCCCGGTCTTAGTCCAAATCTGGCGATTTTTAGGGAAATTCGACCACAAAGTGAAACGTGAAAACAATGTTTTTTTCATTTTTTAAATATCTTTTATTGAAATTTGGGAATTTGTCATATTTTTAACGGGGTGTAGGGTACTACCTTTGGTAGAACCCTACAGGTAGACAAATATAAGACTTTTTTAAACTAGAGACAGAGAAACTGAAATGGGTCGAATTTGGCGCGCAATGTTGTGAGAGTTACATCATAAACGGTGTGACGTCAACGTGGGTCATTTGGATAGCTAGGTCAGTAGTACCATTCATTGACAATGTGGCTGCATAGTGATGCATTTACTAAAATGAGTGCGAATAATCGATATAATAAGATAAAATCGTTAGTGGATTAAATATTTAATTA